TCAACCGTTTCAGACTTTTTTGTGGGGTTTTTTGAAGTCTTGTGTTTACGTGAATAAGCCTGAGACCCTGGAAGCCCTCAAGGACAACATTCGACACGAGTGCCAGAATCTGTCGCCCGAAGATCTCGCCGAAGTGATGAAAAATTCCATAAAACGAGCCCGTATAGCAATCAATTGTGGCGGCGCCCATTTGGCCGATATCATCTTCTCGACTTGACCAATAGAGAATGCGAGTACTCAATAATGTATTTCTTGATATATATACCTATATCCATTTTTTATGTTCATAATTATATCTGAGAATATTCCTTTTCAATATTATTATTCTTCGTCAAAATTGGAAAATTCGAGATGACAAATCGAATATGGCGGACGAGTTCTGTAATTATGTTCCTATTCTAATCAAAATTGGTATCTGGAGGTTTTTGGAGTCAGAGATTATGATTTTTTCCAGAAAAATTTCAAAATTCAATATGGCGGACCCGATAAAGCGACCAAGTTTTGTTCAAAATTGGTATCTGGGGGTTTTCGGGTTTCCGTCAAATTTTGGAAATTCAAGATGGCAGAGCCAATATGGAGAACGATCGAGTGGATAAAAATAATGATTTCATTCTATTTCAAATCGGTATCTGCATGAGGATATTCGTGGTCGCAGATTATGATTATTTCGTCAAAATTAGGCAATTCAGGATGGCGCCAATATGACGGTCGAGCTCTGTAATTTTGATCCGATTCTATCTGGGGATTTTTAGGGTGAGAAATTCTTATTCTTTCGTCAAAATTGAGATTTTCAGAATAATTTGTATCTGGGAGTAATCGGGGTCGGAGATTATGATTCCTCCGTCATAATCAGTCAATTTAGGTTGGCGGATGATTTGTGATAAATAATGGGCGTGTTTTTCATTCCATCGAAGGAAGTGCGCACTGATAGATGCGGTTTTTTGTCGTGACGTCACCAATTGTTCTGTTGGAATTTATGCTGGAAGGATTGAACAATGGTTTATACAACACATTGATGGAAACACGGATTTTGTTGTGTGTCAGTCATCATGTATTTTGAGAATCAGAAGAGGCTAATTCGATTTTATTGATTAACACTGACTCTTTCTTCTAAAATCTCTCAAGAATCTCAAAAATCCCCAATATTAATTGTTTTCTATCAAATCAAAACAAAAAACAACACTAAAATGTGTCAACTGTCATGTCAATCTCCTCCAAACTGCTGGATTCTCGAAAAGCGATTTAAAAGTGCGCATTTTATTACAACAGTTTGATGGATGTCCATCAACATTCCAGCGGAATTTTGCAACAGTTTGATGGTTTCTTCGATTCATGCGCATGATAAAATGTTGGAATGAAAAACGCACCCATTGTCTTGAAAAACTGATGAAACACGCTTTCATAGATGGCCGCACTAAAATGAGGTAGAAAATAAATAGTAGTTCAGAAAACTGAAGAGATAGATTACCGAATTGGAAAGAAGTAGAAAATAAATAGAAGTTTGAAGAACTAAGAAAACACTTTTATGGTTAGTAAAAATGATAAGTAGTGAAAAATAAAATGATAAGTGTGTTGTTGAATATTCAACTGAGAAAATGTCTTCCAGGAATGATGTATACAGCAAAACAACATTTGCCGGGTCAGCTTGTAGTATAAACAATTCGCTTCACAGGCACATATACGCTTGCACGTCTCGCGCCGGAATCTGTTCCTCATCTCGAATACTGAATGAAGAGGTCATTTGAGGAATATTTTCACAATGCGTTACCTTATGTTGCAATCAATGAACTCAATATAAACATCGTTGCAATTGCGTAGATACATTTCTACTATTTGTCACTTGTATTTTCTGCGCCTCATTGACATTGTGCCCTCAGACATATTCAAGGGAGAAAATAGTATATTACACACCGAGGTGGAAAGTGATTCATTCTTGTCGTGAGATAAGTTAGTTAACCGAGACGCAAAGCGTCGAGGTTAGCTATAATTTCGAGACAGGAATGAAACTTCCTACCGAGGATTGTATACTATTTTATTTGCAACCATGATATTTCGATCAAAATTAATAAATCTATGTTTCGTTCTGAACATACCTGAATTATTACATGAATGAGGTCGGGAAGTGAGGGCGGAAAGTAGAGGTGTGTAATGTGACACTTCCCAACCTTCAATGACGTTAGTAATGACATTACAAATATGGTTGTAAATAAATATAGGTCGCGTGCACGATGACCGACCCTGGAGGCAAAATATTGGAACACACCTCACTCTTCTGTGGATTATTGAAACACAACCTCACTTTTTTATTTGGTTACAGAGGAATCAAAGTATTGAAATAGTTTTTCACAATATTATGGCAAACGAATCGTGTTTTTTGCGCTCTTCATTAATTCAAGCATGCCTTCGCATTGTGCTGTTGTACAGGGTGATTCACCATAATTGTCCCCGCCCTCTAGATCAGTTACTTTTGAACCGATTGCAAAATTTTGAAAAACATCTCAAATGATTTTCGATAGAGTTTTTTTCCGCTACATCAGAAAATACAAGGTGCTCGGAACAAACGATCTACAGGGTACTATTTGATTTTTTTAAATGGAACACCCTATTTTTCATTGTATTTTTAGATTCTCCCTGAAGAGCTGATTCCATCAATGTATCACACTTGGGGTTTAGCGAAAATGATTACAGAGATAAAGGGTGTTCAAAATCGAGATTTTTCAACTTTAGGATTTTTCTGTGCCGAAACTGTTCATTATAGGTCAAAACGGCTTCCTTGATCGTATCTTAACTTCTGATTTACTATCGACTGACATTTGATAATTGGAACAGATACAGGGCGATCAGAATTCTGAATCTTGAACCACATCGTATATATTCCAATTAAATGTCAGTAGATAGTAAATCAAGAGTTGAGATAGGGACATTAAAGCCGTTTTGACCAATAATGAATAGTTTCGAGACAAAAAAATACTAAAGTTGAAAAATCTCGATTTTGAAAATCCTATATCTCTGTAATCATTCCTGCTAGACCCCAAGTGTAATGCATTGATGAAATCAGCTCTTCAGGAAGCATCTAAAAATATAATGAAATACAGGGTATTCCATTTGAAAAAATCAAGTAGTACTCTGTAGATCGTTTGTTCCAAGCACCCTGTATTTTCTGATGCAACGGGAAGAAAATTTCTGAAGAATCATTTTAGATGATTTTTCAAATTTTCAAATTGGTTAAAAAATAAGTGAGCTAGAGGGGGGACATTTATGGTGAATCACCCTGTACAATGCACAAAAAATGCAGCGATAGACGAAGGAATATGATTTTTCAGGTAAATAGTATAATCTCACATAGTTATCATTATGAAATGTTGTCATTCCTCATTAAAATTTCTCCTGCCACTTCTGCAATACAAGCTAATACTGCTAATAGATTGTAAATGTCTACAACACACATGATCTTATTTCGTAAGCATGTCAGACCAGTCCTCCCGTTTGATTGCATGAATCCAATCTTCTTGCATTATTTTAGAAATTTCACGAGTATTAATTATATTAGCTCCTATTGCAGAAGGAATTCCGATGAGAAGTCAGAGGAATTACCAAATTTCAAAAATGAAAACCTTTATGTGAGTGACTATAGTAGGTACTTTTTCAAAATATAATGTACCAACAGGATTCCTTAGTTTTCTGCTGCAGTTTTTGTGCATTGTAAGACAGCACAATGTGATGGCATGAGCGAATTAATGAATAGCCAAAAAATACGATTCCTATGCCAAAATAATTGTGAAGAACTATAGGTCGCGTGCATGAAGACCGACCCTGGAGGCAAAATATTGAAACACAACCTCATTCTTCTGTGAATTATTGAAACACAACCTCACTTTTTTATTTGGTTACAGAGGAATCAAAAGGTTGAAATAGTTTTTCACAATATTTTGGCATACGAATCGTGTTTCTTGCGTTATTCATTAATTCAAGCATGCCTTCGCATTGTGCTGTTGTACAATGCAGCAAGAGACTAGGGAATATGATTTTTCAGGTAAATAGTAATCTCACATAGTTAGCATTATGAAATGTTGTCATTCCTTATTAAAATTCCTTCTGCCTTCTGCCACTTCTGCAATACAAGCTAATGCTGCTAATAGATTGAAAATGTCTACAACACACACGATCGTCAGCATGTCAGACCAGTCCTACCGATTGATTGCATGAATCCAATCTTCTTGCATTATTCTAGAAATTTCAGGTATATTTCTATTAGCTGATCCTATTGCAGAAGGAATTCCGATGAGAAATCAGAGAAATAACCAAATTTCAAAAATGAAAACTATGTGAGTGGCTATAGTAGGTACTTACTTTTGAATCATGATGTACCATCCGGATTTCTTCATCTTCCCAATGATTCCGCTGCAGTTTTTGTGCATTTTACAACAGCACAATGTGATGGCATTAGCGAATTGATGAATAGCGGAAAAATACGATTCATATGCCAAAATAATTGTGGAAAACTATTTCGATCACTTGTAAACAAATATGTTTTGCCTCCAGGGTCAGTCATCTGACAGTTCTTGCACGCGACCTATTTCAGTCACTTGTAAACAAATAAGAAAAGTGAGGTTGTGTTTCAATGTTGTGCCTCCAGGGTCGGTCATCTGACAGTTCTTGCACGCAACCCATTATTCCTGCACTACAATCTATCCTAACATTCCTAACTTGGCATGGACCTACTTTTTATGAAGTATATTTTCCGGAAAATTACTTGAAAGATGAAAATAGTTGAACCTTTTGATTTGAGTATTGGACCCGAGCCTCAGACATGGCCGTGTTGTGAGTGGTGAGCACGCTTGTTAGCAGCGACAGCAATCAGCCAGCGGCAGTGTCAGCGCCAGCAAACAACGACAACCTCCTGCCTGCCGCGATCAACTTGTTCCACCGACCACCAGCCACAAGATGCGGAGCTCTAGCCACAGCCTTTTCAAAAATTTTCAAGTCTTTAGTAAACAGTAACTTTAACCTAACTAAAAATTTTCACGTTGTTTATGATTTCCATTTTTCACTTTTTTAAACTATTTTCTTACAGTAATTCCACAAATCAATAGGTAATATCAATATGACTTTACAAGCTATTACATGGAAACCTGTCAAGATTGATTATAATATTTTATCTGGCTCTGTAGATGGTCTTATTGGTATTCAAGAATGTACTGATTATAGTTTACAGAATATCAAAAAGGTAATATATCAAACATAATCTCTCATAACTTATTCGAATTCCCTTCAGGGTTCCAAACGTAGATCTATAAGTGATGAGGGAATGCAAATTAAAAAGAAAAAGACATCCAGATCCAGAAATAAGAAGAATAATATTCTACTGGAGAAGGAAAGTCTGACACCATCCACATGTGGTACCACTAATGGAGTTTCTGAAGTAGAAGAAACCATTCACAAGGTTGAAAAGGATTTGACAAACTTGGAATCCTGGAATAGTTATGGTCTACCAGAATCCATTTTGGCTGGCTTGAAAGAGTTGAAATTTTGTCAGCCAACACTCATTCAATCACTGACTCTACCTAGTGCCATATTAGGTAACAGTAACAGTTGTGTATTGACTACAATATACATTTTCTCATCATGGTTTTGTTTGGACTTGGTAACATAATACAACTGAGGGAGTATTGATTCACCAATCTACAGAAATTCCTGGACCAAGATGGTCCATTCAAAAAACATCCCATTTTTGAGTGAAGAAAGTGCTCTAGCCTACATAGATTCAATAATAAACCACCTGCTAATAAAATCTTCAAAACACTTTGACTGCTGGGAGTGCTGGGCCCATATTCTCACTTTTATTGTCAGAGCCAAAGCAAAATTAAAAAAATTGTCCCAGAAACTATCAGTGACTCTGTGTAGCTGAAGCCTACAGAAGATAGTACATCATTGAAATTTTGATAATCACACTCTGGGTCAGAAAGATTAAAAAATGTCAGCTCCATATTCATAGGCTGTCTCAGCCAAGTACTCAGCACTCCTGTATACTAGAGTTTATAAATGTACTTGACACTGCTATTTTGGCGTTTTTTGTGTATTGAGAGTATGGGCACTAGACAAGCAGTGACAATCAAACATAACCACAAACAATTTTGAAGCAAATCATGTTTTGCCAGACAAGGACCAGAATATGGTTTGTTGGTATGTACATATATACCAATGAAATACATATACTATTCTTATAAAATAACTCTCTTATATGTAGGTATATATATACACTTTCAGTTGAATATTTTTTCATCACAAAAATTCAGAATGGGGTAAAACTGACAAATTTCAACCAATGAAACATACTTTCATTTCACTTGTACAAGAGTGGTAGGTAATAATTAATTGATAAATGAACTAGTGATATGGCAACAATAACAGCTGATTTCAGTTAGGATAAATAATGAAGGTTCTCCAAGACATACAGAAGTAGGTATAAATGGACTTCAGCGCTCAACTCACTATAGATCACATTCACATTGCTAAAGAGGATTGTTGGTTGGAACCCATCAATTGGAAGATCATTGTCAATACATAACATAAATGGTGCATTCGTCAAGTGTTCTTGTTCGGTGCTCTGATAATATCTTGCTCCTATCATGGGACTCAAGAAGTGGTTCAAAATCCACTGTAGAATCTATGTAGTCGTCTAGCACTTCTCAACTACACATGAACATGCACATTCAGACTTGGGATTTCAACAATACATCAACAATATATTGAACTCTTTGATATAGATACATCAAAATCTGGTACATCAGAGTTCCAGAAAATGAACATATGTTTTCAAAAAATTATTGTGAGAGTTCATATATGAAGATAATCTAAAGAATTCTTGATTGAACAGGAATGTGAAATCTGTTTGAGTCAGTCAATTCAGGAAGTTGCTGCTGTTTCATCATCAGATGATCGAACAAGTCAAGTGGCAGTGGTATGGTATGCTGGTGTGTTGCTCAGCTCTGCTAAAATTGTCTTTTTGTGAATGAAATTCATCAGTGAAAATTGGTTTGTTGATATAACCAAGGACATTGGAGTACTCCTCGCTAGCGTGAGAAGTTACAATCCCCAATTTGTAATATATCCTGGTGAATATTTGAGGAAAACAGCATTCAAGTGCATTCAACAACAACAAAAACGAACTTATAAAAACCATACAAAAGCGAGTGGCTGATAAGAACCTTGAGTGATTAAGTTTTTATTTTAAGTCTCTGTCTACAACCATAAAAAGGAGTCAAGTAAAAAAAAACCGCAAAGTATACATTCAACCGTAAAGGAATATACAGGGTCTTTCTACAATGACATACTGCAGAAAATGTACCAAAGCAGTCAAAAATGGAATAGGATATAGTATTATGTGTCAGAAGTGTATGGGATGGTTTCATCGTGATTGTGCCACTCTTGCCATCGAGGAAATAAATTTTTTTTCGGAAGAACTCAAAGATCCAAATGGAAAACGTTATTTATGCATGTTTTGTACACCCCCTGCTGTCAAAAAGCCTAATGTAGCCGCCCCAACGCAAATTAATACCTCTAGAAGATTATCTAGCTCAGATGAATCAAACAATGATAAACTGTTCCAACAAATAAAGGCTTACCTGGATGAGAGTCTGGAAGGTCAGATGAAGAAGATAAAAGAAGAGAATGCAAATCTGCTCAAAAAATATGATGAGAAGGTGAGTTCTTTGGAGAATGAAATCAAAGAACTAAAATCTCTAAAAGATGATCTGCTTGCTATTATCAACACAAAACTTGAAGATATAACAACCTGTCAAAGTCAACCAGAAAATCTTGAAGAGGTAACAGCTGAAGCAGTAGAACGAATGAGTCATGCCAAAAATGTTATAATTCGAGGACTACCCGAAAGTCGAGGGGTTAACCACAGCCTGAAATAGTGTACGAAAAATTCCTTTTTCTGTTTATTTCCCTCATTTCCCATTTATTGCCTTCATTTCCTTCATTTCCCATTTGATTCCTTCATTTCCCATTTGATTCCTTCATTTCCCATTTATTTCCCTCATTTCTCTTTCATTTCCTTCATTTCCCTTCATTTTCCTTTCATTTCCTTCATTTCAATTTTATTTCCTTCATTCCCATTTCATTTCCTCCATTGCCTTCATTTCCCATTTATTTCCCTTATTTCCCATTCATTTCCTGGAAATTCCTCTAATTCCTCCCAATTCCCCAAAATTCCTCTATCTCGCATTTATTTCCTTTTATTTAAAAATACCGAAATGGCTTGTGACTCTAGTTGTGATTTGCCTAATATCGCCAAAATAAATGACAACAGCATTGAAGACTCGATTTAAGATTTCCTGAGAGATTGAAAGAAAAGAAAAGTAGTGAGGTCAATGAATTCCAAAGTGACGATGTCCAACAAAAGAATAAATTTTTGTCACATGATGTTCTAGATGTTTCAATTTTGACTGCGTAAGAGTGTGATACTTATATGCAAGTCGAGGAATTAGTCCGTTGACCAAAGTAGGTATATCAAGATGTGTTTTTGGAATAGAACTCGGTTTAGTTCAAATATTTCTAATTATACAATATATACCTACTAAAATATACGCATGAATATAAACATAAACAAAACATAACAAACATAAACAAAAAAACATTAACGAAAACCTAAAAATCTAAGATGGAAAAGAAGAAAAAAGAGAAAATAAGGAGGAAATAGAGGAAATTCGGGGAAATAGAGGAATTTCGGGGCATTCCGAGGAAATGAAGGAATTTCCGAGGGAATTTCGAGGAAATGAAGGAATTTCGAGGAAATGAAGGAAATTCGGGGAAATGAAGGAAATGGGGGAATTTTTGGGCAATTAGGAGGAAATGAGGGAAATAAGAGGCATTTCAAGGAATTTCGATGATTTTGTAGCAGGACTTTGTCAATCCATAGGACAACTCATTTTGATAAAAAAAGTTCTGATGAACATAATACAGGGCTTTCATTCCAAAACTTACCACCCTGCATATCTTTTGATCTGCGAAGATTTCAGTTTTCGGAAAAAACAGGTCGATTTAGATATCGAGGGGGAAGTAGAATAACAGTATCAATTGAATGCTATGTTCATCCCCTTCACCCCCAGACACCCCTACTTTGAAATCTCAAAAGGGGATGAACATAGAATTCAATTGATACTGGCATTTTACTTCCCCCTCGATATCTAAATCGACCTTTTTTTCCCGAAAACTGTAATCTTCGCAGATCAAAAGATATGCAGGGTGGTAAGTTTTGAAATGAAAGCCGTATTATGTTCATCAGAACTTTTTTTATCAAAATGAGTTGTCCTATGGATTGACAAAGTCCTGCTACAAACTCATCGAAATTCCTTGAAATGCCTCTTATTTCCTTCATTTCCCCCTAATTGCCCAAAAATTCCCGCATTTTCTTCATTTCCCCGAAATTCCTTCATTTCCTCGAAATTCCTTCATTTCCTCGAAATTCCCTCGGAAATTCCTTCATTTCCTCGAAATGCCCCGAAATTCCTATATTTCCTCGAAATTCCCCGAATTTCCTCAATTTCCTCCTTATTTCCCACAAGGTGTACGAGAAATTCCCCTGTGGTTAACCCCTCGCCGAAAGTACAGGAACTCCTATAGAATGTAAAGAAGAAGACAAGTCTAAAATCAATGAAGTATTGGATATTGTTTGTGATGGAGATCATCATGATGTTCCTTTCACCATGTATCGTTTGGGAAGACAAATGGACCATTCTAAATAACCACGTGCTGTAAAATTGATATTAGAAAATGAAATGGTAGCGCGTAAAATTCTCAGAAATAAAAACAAGTTGATAGGATCTTCATATAATCACCTGAAAATTGGTGATGATAAAACCCCAAAACAAATAGCCTACCTGGATAACCTGAGAAAGGAGCTCAATAACAGATTACAAAATGGCGAACAAAATCTCACTATTAAATACATCAAAAATGTCCCAACAATCATCGATGTTCAAAAAAACTAGAAAAGAATGTCCTGGACTGGTCTATAGTATATACAAACATAGCCTCCTTACCCGCAAAATTTGATTACTTCGTTAGCTTCATCCAAACCATCAACCCCTGAGTAATTATGATTTCAGAAACCTGGCTGAATAAAGATGTGCCTGATTCTCTGTTTAATTTGAATGGATATTCAATATTTAGATCCGATAGGCCTGATAAAATTGGTGGAGGAATTTGCATATATATCCATGACAGCATTACCAAAAATTTCCTAGTTACAAACATATCTTTCCACTGCAACAACATTGAAACAATCACCCTCTCATTGACCTCAGCATCTTTCAGCTTCGTATTAGTCTGTATATATAGACCCCCAAAATCAAACATACAAGATACTTCATCCCTCATTGAAAAAATAGAAAACTTAACAAGAACCTCCAAGAACCTAGTCATTTTCGGTGACTTTAACTTTCCTGAGATCTCATGGCCAATAACACAATATGTATATCCTGCTGAAAGTACAACAGCCTTTATTGAGCTGTTGTTAAATACAAACCTTACCCAGTTGATTCAAGCTCCTACACGGTATAGGCATAATAGG